CCCCAAAACCCCAAAACCCCAAAACCCCTACATACATGATTAAATCTATTTAAGAATCATAATTTTAAATTCTGTTAATCCAAATAATTAGCTTCAATGAATACTGCATGAACATTTCATCTCTTTTTAAGAATGCTTTTATTCTCTTTTTCTGGGGCTATGTTAGCTTTTGATTTTTGCTTCTTCATTTTAGAATGCAGATCAATTGAAACAGTCTGGACAGGCTTCTCAGTATCTTCTCCTAAATTATCTCCAAGTTTTACCTATTTGCCGTCTATTCTTATGCCATTGTTATTACTTATTAGCAAATCAACTAATGTCGATCTCTAGTTCATTTGGTTCTTCTTTTCTAGCTCACATAGTGATTTCTGCTGTTGAACTCTTTTCTACTGAAGTAGTTTTACTTGCTTTTGTATTTTGTCCTTATCATCTTATAGTTTCTACTTTTCCTTAACAAGGCAACTCTTAATCATATCAATCTCTCCGTTCTTTCTTTTGATGCTTCTTTCATAAACATCAACCACCTCAATTATTATTTAATTCAAGGCATCTGTATTCATTCCTTAGGGTGTCTCCCCAGGCTAAGAAGATTATAGAGGTTGATTCAACATTAGTTCAATTTAGTTCAATTACTGCAAGCATTGCTAAGAGTCATTCTGTGAGTGTTGCATCTGATCTTGAAGTTATTTCAGATTTAAATTTTCACTTTGTAATTTTGCTTTTATCTCACTACCTTAATCTAGGTTATTCAAGCTCAATAAACTTAGATCGATTTCATATCTTGCCTTAAGCTCTTACTGTTTCATCAGATATTACTAATCAGTATTGTGCTGTTTCTCTACTTTAGCTATGATTTTCTGAATTTTAGATTGTTCTTCCTTCAATACTTCACAGTCTCTTTCAGTTTTTCTAATCTTATTTCTAGTAATGGCGTCATTTAGCTTAAGTTAATGATTAGTTTCTTTAATAGACTGAAGAGACTCTTGTAGTATAATGTCCTCTGAGGTTTTTTCAATTTATTTTCCTGGTGATTTCAAACTTGCTACGGAAGTCTAAGCTGACTTCATAAAGTTATTCTATGATTTAACATTGTTAAGTATTGTTGAAGATGGATTCAGGAGTGATTAGGGTGGAATGGTTGAGAGTGATTATTGATTTCTCAAAGTCTCAATGAATTGTTCTATATCTTATGAATGTTAAGAGGATAGTAATTGATCGTGACTCTAGTTTCCACTAGGGGCGTAAGAGTTTGTATTCATATTTAAAATTAACGTTAATTTCTATTTTAAAGTATTAATAACCTTTTCTACATTATTGATATAGACGAGATGGGGTTTTGGGGTTTTGGGGAGATCGGAAGAGC